CACAATATTTCTATGATTCTCTTATAGTTATTTTTGCAAATGGTTGGGGTTCTTAAAGTCCAACTTGTTATGAAATGCCTTTATTCTTTTTTTGCTGAGAACTATATGAGAAAATGAACAACACTGTTAAATCTGTCAATTAGCCTGGCCTAGCACAAAGAATGGAAGCAGGGGGGAAAAACTAGATTTTCTCTGCACCTAAATAACAAAACTTAAAAAAATACTCATCATTACTTACTAATACAACAAAGAAACACATTTTATGTAATGTGGTATGAACCCTTTTTTGTAACATTAAAGTTGTGGGAGAGCCCACTAACCTTAACTGTTAGTAATCTTGGGCTGGGTATAGTCATGCCAGGACCTGCACAAAAGTCAGGATGCAAGAAAGAACTGAGGCTAGGGCATTTGAGCACAACAATACCTTGTAAGCAAACTTCAAAAGCTGATCAGAGCCAGGGGGAGGAGGCAAATGTTGGCTAGGAGGCGAGCGCTAACACTACTGGTCCAACACCTCACGTAATGATATTGTTAAATGACTTCTGTGGAGGGCCCAATCATTTCAGTGGGCGGGCCTGCCTATGTTTCTTGCTTTAAACAAAAACAATCTTGTGAAGCGTTTGACGGCACTTGTTTCTCCAAATACTCTTTTTCAAATTGGGATTTTTTTTTTGTTGTTTTAACCAAGCAATCAACAGCCCTTTGAACCCAGATTCCAGTTTTGGTGCTAAGCTAAGCTAACATAGAGCGGTTAGATAGATCTATGCAAAGAGGAATTTCCTATCTATAATCTCTCAGTGCTCTCCACAAGACAGCCAAAAAGATCGAACAAATACTTTAAACCCCTTCCTTAAGATTTTGATGCCATGTTATAGGGGCTTATAGTGGGCTTGTGTAAAGTATATTTCTGTAACCCCAAATCTGTGCAACGTAGATGGTAAGTGCAAAGCGCACGTAAACCAAAACGCCACATAGTCATTGGCTGGAATGAACCTAGATTTTCCTGGAGGTCTTTGGCCTGTGAAAAGATTGTGTAACCGCACAGATTGTCTGTACATACAACATAGAATAAAGACTATACATTTCGGATGCCGGTTGAAAACACTCAAGGCCAATCAACTCTTTCAGGAGGTGGGATATGTGTATGACGTCATGCTGTCCAAACATTTCCCTTACCATCTGACTAAAGACTGGCTTCATCTGTATTATGAGTCATAGTTGATGATGTTGAAATCAAGTCCATGGTCACATTTATATTTATGTGCAAGTCTCAACAAAATCTCCTGCATGCTGCCGTTCGGCCAAGACAAACAGATGTGCTTACTGCACACTCTGCAACGCTTAACATGCTTTAACTCAGTTTAAACATGGAAAATCCTTTTATCTAAAACCTTTCCATGCCACACAGTAATCTTAATGGGAATGATTGCCAAGATAAGACAGAAGCAGCCTCGGTCCAATGATGCAATTTCCTAGTTTCCTGTCAACAACTTTCAGGATCATGTGTGTGTTTCAAGAAAATTGCTTCAGCTTCATTAGAAATCTGAGTGAATCCCGGAGGGACCCGTAGTGCTGTTGTTGCGCACATCAAAGCGAAGCCTGAAGCTGATGAAGGTGTACCCAAGGCCACTTTCAATTGTTCAGAAACATCCTGCAGTAATAATCGAGAAGTAGCTATTCCTGGAAATAGGGAATGCCACCGGGGATTTTTAATGACTTTAAATAATACTGTAAACCTGTAAACATGTTGTGTCCTCATCACCTTTACTGTAAATCATTTTCTTCTGTTCCATAATGTAGGCGCTCCCTCTTCCTGCTCAAACTAGGCTCCTTCCAGTTTGCCCTCCTGAAGCCAGTCTTCACTATCCTTTCCATTGTCCTCTGGACCAACGGGACTTTTGACCTGGCCGATGTGAGTCGTTCGCATGGAAATGCTGAGTAGCGTCTCCTTTTGTGTTGTTGCATTCATCATTTCTGTTTTTTTTTCCCCAGTAATTTACGATCATCATTGTCATCATCTTTCTTCTGTAGCTATGCTGATGTTAACTAACACTAAGATATTACTGAGTCATCGTCATTCAAAATAGTCACTCTCATTGTCATGTGTAATTTAGCTGATGCTTTATGAATCTTAAAAATAAAATAAAAACATCATCATATTTACAATACTTTTGTTTGGTACATTACATGCCATCAGAACCAGTTTTTATTTGTGGCACATACATTTTTTTTTGCAAAATACTACTTAATTAAGGCGTCTGTATTAGCTAATGAAAAATGGCTTTAGACCGAAGCCCCCCCCCAAACCTCTCCATTCTTCAGTCTTTGGGACCAGCTTCTTGGTTATTTTTCATCTGCAAGCAACAAAAGGTCGTGATTTATTCCTGATTCATTCATGCATGAAATAATCATGACTCATTGAGTGTGCATAACTTCAGCATGTGTTTTGTAAACTTCTGTACACACACACAGCATGGTTTAATGACAGAAAATTAGAAAAACATTACAAGTTGTAAAGATGACAATAGAAGAAGACAGTGAGACAAAGGCTGCTAAAGACAACAAGGAGAAGAAAAACATAGTTATTTAAAGAGAATTAAAACTGTACTCTGACGTTCATCTTCTCTCCCCACTCTCTCAGAATTAGTCTTCATGCTGCTTTTGCAAACGTCCTGACTCTTACTGTGTGTGTGTGTGTGTGTGTGTGTGTGTGTGTGTGTGTGTGTGTGTGTGTGTGTGTGTGTGTGTGTGTGTGTGTGTGTGTGTGTGTGTGTGTGTGTGTGTGTGTGTGTGTGTGTGTGACCATGTTTCAGTTGAACATAACCGGATCTGCAATATGGATCAACCCCTTTGTCGGCATCTTGACAATCATCGCACTGTGGCCTGTAGCCATCATGTTCATAAACCTGAGGACTGCCCTGCGCACACTCAAGATCATCCCCAAGTACGCCATGTACCAGGTGAGACACAAGAGTCGCTTTTTAAGTCTGTGCGCACACACACACACACACACACACACACACACACCTGTTCACACTACATGATGCACATTAACTAGAAACACTTAAATATAGAAGTATTGCTGTGCAGGTAAACATACATTTCTAACAACATGTCAGGTTATAGGGCAGTCACATGTTTTTCTTTTTACAAGATTGTCCAGCTTTTGTTTGTAAGGTTAAATAATGTGTGTGTGTGTTTGTTTGTGTCTGTGTGTGTGTGTTTGTGTGTAGCTTGTGCTGGTCCTGAGCCAGCTGCAAACAGCCATCATCAACATCTTGGCCTTAAAGGGAACCATAGCCTGCGCGCCGCCCTTCTCCGCCGCAGCCAGAGGATACAGTGAGTCAACATCCAGCCGCGCAACCAATCTGTTCATCCGTGTGATTATCTGTTCAACCACAACAATGATTCGATCCGTTCCAACACTGATTCTTGCGTGCTACAGTTTGAGCTTTGTTTTTCGCTTGTCTTCACAGTGTTGAGTCAGCAGCTTTTGATCCTGGAGATGTTCATCATCACGCTTGTAACACGTCTGCTGTACCGTCGACAGTATGATCCTTTACCTGAAGAAGAAGAACACGACGACAATGAAAACACCAAGATGGCTCCAGTGCCTTGAGTCTGCTTGAAATGTGTGTGCTTGTGTATGTTTGAGTGTGCGAGTGTGTCACTGTTATTCCCTGAATGTATTTGATTATGAGAATATATATAAATAAATATAAATATGGATTATATGTTCATGCATGTTGTGTTTTTATTTAATGCATGCACAGTATATATACTCACACCTGTATAATTGTGCCACTAGGTGTCAGTAGAAACTACATTCTGATAAACACTATCTGTAAGATGCAGGCTTTTTTATAGACACCTATCTGATGTATATTTACATATCAGTAGTGTAACAACAGTACGGAATTTCACTCATTCATCTCCGAAATGTGTTCTTGTTTTCAAATTACTTAGATCTGTATGTGAATGTTATACCATGCTTCACAGACTGCACTGAAGCGAATGGTTGTAGCAAACTAGCCTGGGGAAAAAAAACGATGACTGACACGCCTCCGTCCAATCGGGTTGCTGTTCTATATAACTTCCTGGTTTTAAGCCAATCACCGTAAAGCAGCAACAAGCCTGCAAGTGTGGTTGTCAAGAAATTTCGATGTACGTGCTCCAAAGCCGTCGTCAAAACACTTCACTGCCGGAAGATTGGAAGCTAAAACTTCAAAATAAAATGTTAGAAATGGAAAAATGTCAGTAACAGAAAGTACCGATGGACACCTGTTATATTATAAAAGTATCCTCATGCCATTTACAATTGATAGAGCCCCCCAAAATATTCAACAATAGACCTTATTTGACTTATCTAGATGGTAGACATTTACTTTATAAATTATATGATATTTGATCAGAAGGAAATCTTATGTAAAAGCCTTAAAAAAAAATATATATATATAATAATGAGGGTTTTTTAAAACAACTTATGGACCAACAAGTCAGTAGTATACTTGTAGTAGTATACTTGTAGTAGTATACTTGTAGTAGTATATTTGTAGTAGTATACTTGTAGTAGTATACTTGTAGTAGTATATTTGTAGTAGTATACTTGTACAATTATAAGTGTATAGCCATTTAGACAGGACTTGATATTTACTCATCAACAAAGGGTGGAAGATGAAAGTAAGAGGGATGTTTCTATAAGTTAATTTAATAAGTTATTATTAAAGAAATATTTTAATATTTCTTGATCGATAGAATTGAAAATACAAAAAAAATTAAAAATAAAATGAATATTGTCAAAATTTACACCCACACTTCAATCTTCAAGTTTATTTGTTATTATATTTTTATTTCCATAATGACACCTGCTTTTTTTGTTTGTTTGTTTTTTTGTAGTTAGCATGTTTGTTTACTGAAGAAACGTTTTTTTTTTATATGAAGTTAAAAAAAATAAAAATATACGACATACGGCAGTTTTATTTTGAAACTCCTATCAGGAAATGTGCGATTTGATCGGACCAGTTTTGAGATCGTTGCGCTGCTCTGAAAGCCCAACAATGCAGATACAGGAAGCCCTCTTGGTCACATATTGTTCGCATCCTTTCATCTAAACTTATGGACATTTATTCACGCTTTCGTTTCGTGTCCACCGGAGGGAAGCGGCCTGGGACACATGTGTCCGCGGATGAGAGAGGAGGACTGTCAACATAACCTGGGAGGGGGGGTGGAGGAAGAAATGGTCGTGTTTTCATTGAGCCTCATTCTCACGTTCAGGTCCTGGCGTCGCTGTTGAACTTTTCAAAATGAGGATCCTCGCGTCTCTGCTGAAAAACACGAACCCCAAAATCGAGTATTACTCCAGATTTTCGCCGTCCCCGCTCTCCATTAAACAGTTTCTGGATTTTGGTAAGAAGCAAAGCAGGCCTGTCATCTTACAGGCTGATATGAATGTCACCCAGGGGCCTTTGTATGGAAACATTTCCCTTTTATAATAACAATGTTAAGTCTGTCTGAGGCAATCACTGAGTTGTTTTTAATAGTAGAAGTATTCTTCACAATATTTTCTATGATGAGATGTGACGTTTGAATTGTTGTTTACTTTTAGTAACCCACTTATGACCGCACAAACTGGCTCCTGCATGACACCTTGTCAATGCAGGGCTGTTTACCATGTGCAATGCATGCTGGTATTTTGATTTCAACTCTGGCTTGTATGCAAGCGAAGGATGGACACACCCGGATCATGTTAGGCAGAGTTTTATTCATCACTGAAATGTCAATATTTAGCAGCTGATTCAGTAGTCAGTGACTGTGCCAGACTGTGAAGCAAATTAGACTTGAAGTGCAAGATGACAGCCAACACTGAAGCCCTTTCCTAATCCATCTGTGATTAAAAAAAAAAACAGGGCGACTCATCTTTGTTATGTAATTCGTTCTCACAGCTGTGGATTGGATGCTAGATGCACAGTGAGTGTGCATTGCAACACTTGCAATGCATGAAGAAACAAAGGGAGCGTCTTGTCTGCAGTAATTGTTTCGTGTCATTGGAGCAGTGGAGGGCAGACCATATTCAGAGGGGAACAAATGAGACATCATGGTGGGGTTGTTGCAGTGTGTGTGGCCTTCCAAGGCTGACTCAGTATTCATCGGTTTCACTACCCAGTTTTATAGCTTTTTTTTTTTTTTTTTTTACTTTGCTGAGGAGAGGATGGGACATTGCCTTTCATTTTGCTGAAAATGTTCCTTTGCAGTGTTTGAGTAGATAAGATATCACCTTTTGGTCCCTATTTAGTAGCCGCCTGGAACTGTAGAAGTATTTTCCCCTTAATGATTCACTCTGTGTTTTAGTTTTCTCTGCTTCAGGTTTTAATGTGCTCCTTATTGAGTCCTCAGATGCACACATTATTACACCACGGTGATTCAGCTTTTCCTGTTTGAATGTGAAACAAATGTCCAACAAACTTTTCCATGACTCCCTAGTCTCTAATGGCTGTAATGTGTAATTCGTGTTTTCCTTTTATAAGCTAATGTTAGCAGATAGTAAATAAAGTCCGGGCCAAGCCAGTTGGCTGTGTTTGAGGTATCGTATTAAAGGTTGAAACTGATTACAGCTCCCAACTTCAGACTTAGATTTGAGCCCTTGCTGGTATGTTTATCTCTCTTTTAGTCACGTTGGTACATCATTTCAAAGGTTAAATCATTTTGTATGTGGCACACAGTTATCCAGTTTGCAGAAATGTCAACAGTTTGGTCGTGGTTGGTCTAAATTAAAAGAGTTTAGACGTGATAATAACAAGGAGAGTATTGATAATATGACTTTTAGCAGCAAGGCAAGAGAAAACACCTTCTAAAAAAGGATCTCTGTACCAACACCTCCACATAACTAATGTCAGTATTGTCGCTTTAACAGAAACCACTTTCTTTTCTTCTTCCAGGCCGGGACAATGCCTGCGAGAAAACATCCTACATGTTCCTGCGTAAGGAGCTGCCGGTGCGGCTGGCCAACACCATGCGAGAGGTGAACCTGCTACCGGACAACTTGCTCAGCCAGCCCTCAATCAGACTGGTACAGAAGTGGTGAGACACTTTCTCTTTATTACGGCTGAGCGATAAGCGTTACCATGGACGTATTGTTTGGTAGTAAATGTTGTCTTTTGACCTTTGTTTGCTTTATTAGGTACATGCAGAGCTTTGTGGAGCTGCTGGATTACGAGAACAGAAAGCCAGAGGACCCTCACGCTCTGAATGAGTAAGAATATATTGACTTGATTAAAGAGTCATAAAATTAGTGCAATGAATTACAGGAAGTATAGCTTTGTCAGGCACCCAGCTGTTGTAAACTGTCTTTATAGCCCCCTCTTCTAACACAGTTAATCCCCTTAGCACACACAGATCTCTGCTGACTGTACCGGTAACCCTGCGTATTTATACTACAACAATGCCTGTGTGATAAACAGCCACACACACGGAAGTATAAACACAGATAGGAGTCTGGATAATGCGGCGTGTTTACACCGAACAGTTCCAAGAACAATTTGGTTCTCTGGAAATCAGAAAAAAAACACTTGTGTGAAGATTGAATCACCAAAACGACAAACGAATTATAGACGCGAGAAGCAGACTGGATCCAAGAAAACAGGATCCCTATCTTCAAATTGCTTTCATCAATTTTCAAGTTTAAGAAGAGTTTGTGCAAAAGATATACCGAGCAACAACCTTAGGTATGATCTCAAAATGACGTTGAAATGACAGCCAAAGTGGATTTATTTTCTTCCTGATTACAATTAAAATGTTTTTTTTTTTTTTTTAGTTTCCTGGAGCTCTTGATTGAGATCCGTAACCGTCACAACGATGTGGTGCCCACCATGGCTCAGGGAGTCATCGAGTACAAGGAGAAATTTGGCTTCGACCCTTTCATCAGCAGCAACATCCAGTATTTCCTCGACCGCTTCTACACCAACCGCATCTCTTTCCGTATGCTCATCAACCAGCACAGTGAGTATCAGAAAAAACCTGTTTGGATCACAAGCATGCCACCTTTACCTTTCACTTCTACTGACTTTCATTTCTGTGTCTTTCTGAGCAGCTCTACTGTTTGGTAACGACACCAACCCTGCGCTTCCAAAACATATTGGCAGCATTGATCCAACCTGCAGTGTGGCTGAAGTTGTCAATGGTGAGTTAAAGAATCTCATGCTTGATAATAATCCAGGATTAACGCCCCCCTCCCATATTTGCTTCCTTTTTTTTTTTTTCCAAGGAAAACATAGCAGCAACTCTGACCAGAAATCAAATAAATCAGAGTTCATATGTGCTGCATGGCGTGTTTACATAGCGATAGTTTTCTTTTCTGCAGAATTCTGCAGCGTGGATCCAAAGCTGCACTCTCAGTGACCCAGTGAGAAAACAGATGCTACATTAGTGACCTGTTAGTTCCAGGAATTCAAACACGAACAATCAACATATTCTGCCTGTCTTTTTTTCCTGACTCGTGTTGTGTTTGCTCCTCTCAGATGCCTATGACACAGCCAAGATGTTGTGTGAGAAGTACTACTTGGCAGCTCCAGAGCTGAAGATTGAAGAGTTTAACAGTAAGCTGTTTTTTTTTTTCTTGTTTGTGCCACATCCACTCATTTGATCCTTTATCCTGGTAATTTGCGTCCTTTCATAGCTTGTAGATGCAGCTCAGAGTCCAAATGTAGCCAAATTACAATACTGAACATCTAATTAACCTAAAAAAAGAACCAGCTTGTCGTCCTTTTCTCCTCCTCCCTTTCAATCTTCCAGTGAAGGCCCCAAATAAGCCCATCCAGGTGGTGTATGTGCCCTCTCATCTGTTCCACATGCTGTTTGAGCTCTTCAAGGTAAGCAAGGGGCCAGAATCAGTGCATGCAGTCCAACCAGTCCAGCCCTCTGTAGTTGTAATTAACCCGTAATGTCACTATAATTCTGTAAGGACTTGTGCTGAGCTGAGTTAATTAAGTGTGTGGATGTTTGTAGAACTCAATGAGAGCCACGGTGGAGCTTCATGAAAACAGTGAAGAGGGATTACCACCAGTGAAGGCCAAAGTCACTCTGGGTAAAGAGGATCTCTCTGTTAAGGTAAATAAGACACAGGTAGAAACACAAACAAAAATTAAAACGCTTAATCAAGGAAATAGTGTTTTTTTTTTCTTCTCATTTTTTTGTGCGTCTGTTTCTTCTCAGATCAGCGACAAAGGAGGAGGAGTTCCTCTGAGGAAGATAGACCGTCTGTTTAACTACATGTACTCCACTGCCCCGACGCCAAGCCTGGAGCCAGGAGCTGTCCCACTGGTAAACGACACATACACCAACAAAATCAAGTCAGACTGGCCCCTCACGTTGTCTATGTACGGTGTGACATCTGTGAAATTAATTTTCTGCCACCCTCCTTTCCCCTACCCAGGCTGGTTTTGGCTACGGTTTGCCCATTTCTAGGCTCTATGCCCGTTACTTCCAGGGGGATCTGAAACTCTACTCCATGGAGGGCGTGGGCACTGATGCTGTCATCTATCTGAAGGTAAAGTGAGCTGGTCAAATGTGGAACAACTTGTAAAGGTTGTTTTGGCTCTCAAAGACTCTGTACTCTGAGCGTCCGAGTTGAAAAGAAGAGCACGACACCTGGCTAAATATAGCTAATCAGTTTTATTTTGCAAGACTTTGACGGGAAGTTTGAGATTGCCATCACTTGTCTGGGAAGTAAAATGCGAGCGCTGGAAGACAGATATCTTAGATTAGCATAAAGACGGGAAGCAACCAGCAAAGATTTGTCCAACGTTATAATAAAGTCCGCAACCTTACTTTTAATTCATCACTTCTGTTTATTTCTCACTTAGCAGTACTTGTCATTATGTTAAACTTGTCAAATAACCTCCCTCCAATATAGCACATTATATTCTTCACTTTATAAAAGGAAATAATTCAGGATCAGAGGATTAAGAGATTAGTTTTGTTTAGAATGGCTACCTGGAGATATCTAATAATGAAAAGCGCAAAACTCTGTGCTCTTCTTAGTAAAAGATACACCTGTTTAGTCGTAAGGTACTCCCTAATAGACTGACTGTAACATTTTAAACATGAGTGGAGTAACAATATGATAAAAAACCACAGAAACGTCTCTGTAAAATTGAAAAAAAAAAACAGCTTGCCATGCCAGCAGCTTAGTTAGCGCTGTGCATTTGTCAATAGAAAAACCTAGTGTTTTTTTTGGATGAATCATGAGATATTTAATAAAACTTAGTTAACTGTTAGGATCTCTGTCCTGCAGATTTTGTTGACTTTGAATAGTTGTCAGATCGGGTAGTTGTTTCCGACCATATCTTTGTACTCGCTATGTTAACTGGCTGCTCCTGATGACTTAACATTTAACTGACGGACATTAAAATGGCAACAATTTTCCTGACTAAACCTTAAGTGAACTCAAATAAACCGTAATGCCGAACCATGCCTGTAAAGTATGACGCTAGCTCCAGGGAAAGTTAGCTAGCTAACGTATCCGCTAGAAACTTCAGTTGTTTACAACGAAACGTGTTCTGTCACATTTGCTACATCTACACAGATTTAGAACTGTCAGTGTCCACTAGGTCTACCTTTTTTTCCCCCCCAAGTCTATGTGCTACGCTAAGCTAATTGTCGCTTAACCTCGTGTTTTAATGTGTTTAAAGGCCCTGTCCAGTGAGTCCTTCGAGCGCCTGCCTGTCTTCAACAAGTCAGCGTGGCGGCATTACAAGACCAGCCCGGAGGCCGATGACTGGAGCAACCCCAGCAAAGAGCCCCGTGATGCCAGCAAGTCCACATACAAAGCCAACAGATAACTCTGCACGACCCGCTAGCCCGGCACCTCGGCTGGGAGCCCGAAAAAAGCTCGCTCTCTGGCCCCCAGAGCATGTCGGATGAAATGTTGCCCTTGGGTAAATGCTTTGTTTAGGATCAGACTTGATTTTACATTCCAGTGGTTAAAGGTTTGGGAAAAAGATGCATGACCTTGACTTACATCTGTACCCAATGGCAATAACATTCATCAGCGTAGCTTTTATTGTGGCGGCGTGACCACTGGCTTTCCCCAGGACGGACTTCAAAATGAACGTCCTGGAAATGATGGGTCCTCGCTGTCATTTAATCACATGATCTGTGAGTCTGTGCTGAGGCCGACTTTAATTTTCTCTGCTATACAACCAAGCTCTCTTTCCTCCGTCACCATTTCCCCTCCCTCTGTCTCACGCACTGTTTGGCCTGGCTTGTCTTTGCTGACGAGGCCCGCTGCTCCCTGTGGCTGAATAAGCCATGCACTGCTGATTGAAAGTCTTTTCAGCAGCAGTGGGGGCTTGTATTCTGTTTCCCTCTCTCAGACACAAGATGAGTCAGAGTGGGGTGAGTTTCAGAGCAAATTGGGCTGAGAGGGAGGGTTTCATTTCCTTCCTTTGGGAGACACTTTTGACTGAACACACAATTAGGCCAGTGTGCCATTGGCATAGTAAAGACTTGTTTTGGTTAAACTCTGTTCAAGCTTGGGAAAATGTAACGCAACATTGCCACTTTATGACAGAACATTTGAGCTCTTTTGGAATAATTATAGGAATTACAGTACACGCTTTTCTTTTTTTAAATCTAGAAGACATGACTTTTATTTGATGTCAAAGAGAGAAAGCCTTACTTCTGGGAATTAACATCCTATTTAATGTTTTTTAAAAAGAGGCTCTACAGGAACTTATAGTTCATTTATTATTGAAAAAATGTTAGAAATACAGAGTATTCTGTTATGTTGTACTGCTTCACATATTGAAGTTAACTAAACGCCCTGATCTACCGTACAGAGAGCAGACCAGCTCTCCTCATCAGACCTGCTCTGTACCGATTGAACGCCTGCTAAAGGACCAAAGGAGCGTCTGTAGGATGCTTACAAAACACCACCATGCCAGTCAAGTAGCTTCCACCACACCAGCATGATGAAATGTACGAGAGAGGAATGGACATGACGCATCTAAAGAGGACTAAATAATACGGACCTGCCATACTAGAAACAAGACACGCTAACAGCTACCAGCGCTAACAATGCTTCATCCTGTCAGCCTTGTTATATTCTTACTAATCCCTACAGTCCTCTTGAGTGACAAAGCGTGTCTGCTTTAAATGTGCTTTTGTGTTTGTAACCATAAGAGAGCAAAAATATTGGATATCTAATTTATTTATCTAGGAGCAAAAACTGTTAAAGAACTAGTTTTTCAGGTGTCTGCACTGTTATCGCTCTCTCCTTTTTTTTAATGTTGGACTCAGACTGTTTTTTATTTATTTCGTGATTTTTTTTCTCCGCTTGTATTCAAAAAAAAAATGTGTAGACAGTCCACTTCTTTATTTAATTTAAAGGAACTCAAGCAACATTTGGAAAAGCCGGCAGGGTAAAATGTGATGAAAGGAGCCAAGTAATGTTTTGTTACTGAGATAGCCCTGTCCAACCATCTGTTTTTGTTTTTATCACATACAGGAACATGTTTAATGCACTTTAGTTAGCCTACCTGTGCAATTCTCCTTTCAACAATTATAACAATAATCATCTTTCCTAAATTTCTTTCAATCCTCTGTCAAGATGTTTTTTTTGTTTTTTTTTGGAAAATTAAAATCAGGAGAGTTCCCAGGTCACCACTACTTCAAAAATAAACTAACATGGCTAAAACATGGTACCATTTCTTAAGACTAGATGATGGGGGAATTTCTGCATTCTGAAGTGACTTCCTTTTCTCATCTCCTTCAGCTCAAGTCTGATGTGAAAAGAGCGGAGTGTAGCAGAAGAAACCAGACAAAGCAAGCATCCTCGTCTTTTTCAGCCTCACTGTAAAGTTTCATCACTGCCGATGCCTTTGTAAACTGCCAGTCTCTGGTACTCAGTGACAAAGCTGCTGTAAAAGAAGTGCTGTGTTGTACGATAGACACAACAGGCCGCCACATTTAGAACCCCCCCCCTTTGTTAAAGTTTTAACTCAAACCAAACTGTGTGAATCAGAGGCCTGATCTCCAGTGGTTGTCAACCTTTACTGTAAAAGACTATTTCTGTACCTAGAGTACGGTATTTTAGAAAATATTATGTACATAACGATAACAAGATATTTGTTGTATATGCAGCCAGTGTCCCATCCTGCTGTACCTCCAGCTTAAACAAATGTATCTGTGTGCATGAAAGAAGGAGTGAATGAAGACATGCAACATACCAAATGAAGGACAGTCGAATGTTGTGTCAGCATGAGATCAAATACAGTTGTCAAACCCTGACAATAAAGACATAGCTGTTGAGTGCGATCAGTCTGTTTTCACTTTCATATTTTTTCTTTATTAACATAATAAGCTGTTTTGGACGTTAAAATGAAAAAAAAAAAAAAAAAACCGACATATGTTCCCAAAGTTTGTACACATAGTGCAGATTAACAGGACATTAAGGTCTCTACATTGCATTGGGATGTTTATTGTATTGTTTGGGTGGAAGAGAGGCCTGCTGCAGCCTGAGAAGAGTTATGATGACATACATTTCCAAGCGTTTCCATGGAGACGTCCCAGCTTCTGAGGACCTGACAGTTCACCTGTAGGGCTTCAGTTATTATATGATTCAATATTTCAAGTATCGTCAGAGTCCTAGAGGAAGGCTTGATCTCCTAGTGTGTCGGGTCTGATTAACAGCTGACATCAAGTTCCAGAGAGCATGAATGTCTGCCAAACATGGATAAACATGGAAGAAAAAAAAAAAAGGTTCTAAGTACATGGCTTTGTTTCTACTATGTGTTTACAATGAGATGTGACGTTGGTGTGGCTTACTGAATGGTGAAGAATTTGTGAGTTTCTACAGAATTTAAGCAGAAATTAGGGTGGTCTGAAGAGCCCTTTCCATCGTGCAATTCTGCAACAGCACCGTATCGAAGCTCCGCTGTCATTCCGCGTTCCGCAACGGCGTAATATCGCCGTCCCAGTCTGAATTCACATTGTGTTACGCCGTTGCGGAAGCGCAAGAGAGCACGGCACAGCGAGAGCTCCACATACACACACACACACACACACACACACACACAGTCAAGCATGCACAAACACACACAACGCTGTTCTCAACTGCTGGCTCTGCTGATACCGTCTCCCCGCTGTAACGCCTCTGTTACTACCTCCGACGAAAGGTACAGAGGAGGGGATCACTTCGTCTGTCCATTACGCCTCTGCGACATTCATACTGAAGGCGAAGCATCACAGGGGCGTAGCCTAAATATCGCACCTTGAAACGGCAGTCTGAATAGGGCTAAAGACTCAGATTACATTCAAGAAGCTACAAATCACAATCAAGTTTTTTGGACTATCTAACAGGTACGATAATGATTAAATGCAGCCACAGTCTCAAATCGTAGGAGTCTTACTCCCTCTGCTGTTTCCCAAGGCATTTTTTTTTTTATAATTTCCTATGAGTTTCTTTAGGATTAGTTTAAATCTGTTTAGTGATTATTTCTCTTAACTGTAGCATTGGTATCAGTAGATCAAAGATTGGGGATTGCTAAAAGTCCTTGCCAATCAATTATTCAGGCTAAGATGGTGCAAACCAGTGTAAGTGCAAACCAGATTGTGTGTGTGTGTGTGTCGGGGGGGTGTCTTTTCTTCAATCCTAGCTCTCAGCTCAACAAGCATAAACGACACAGTGATGAATTAGACCAGTTCCTGCTCATTCACATCACCTGTAGAACTGACCCTTGCACTATTGTTTTTGTCTAACTTCGTGCCATGTTACATATAGTGGTCACAGTAATTACAAGAAATCTTGGCAAATAAAGTCAAAATCCTAGTAAACAGGAGGGGAAAAAAACAAAGAGGTGACATTATGAGCGGGCTGTAGGACAGTTTCTGTCAGCTGTCAAGAAAATCCTCCCAAAATATGCTGCAAAGCATTCTGGGATGTCTAATGATATGTGACACTGTGTGCACAAATCCTCTTCTTATTCCTTTGTCCTTCAGTCTCCTTGGTTGCCCAGACAACAGAAACAGTGATGGCTTCATAGCTCAGCAGCAAAGAACTTCATTTCCCATGATCACCCCCTGTCTTGCATTTAGAAACTTCCTTAAGGAGAACAGTTTCAGTTTCCAGCCAGTGTTTGTTGGAGTATAAGTGTTTGCGAGTGTGTGTGTGTGTGTGTGTGTGTGTGTGTGTGTGTGTGTGTGTGTGTGTGTGTGTGTGTGTGTGTGTGTGTGTGTGTGTGTGTGTGTGTGTGTGTGTGTGTGTGTGTGTGTGTGTGTGTGTGTGTGTGTGCGTGCGCAGTTCTCAGGCAGTGAGTGAGGTGTGACGTGTGTGTACATGTGTGTGTCTGAGTCCGTCTACTTCTCATCTTCATCACCTTCACTCATGCTGCTCATAGAGGCAGATGCTCCTTTGGGGGAGGTGGGTGGCGAGGGCCGTGCGTTGTGCCAGCGGGCCGGGGGTGACGGGGGTGAGGGGGAGCGGAGCGGTGACAGTTCGCGGGGGGGACTGTTACAGGGTGACTCTCGAGGAGACAGAGCATAGGAGAGCATCCGTCCACTGCGCTCCTGAAACACCTGTTTCTGTATCGGAGAGAGAGGCAACATTTGTACAAGCGGTCCGGGTACATTAAAGATACATCTAAGATGTAAACAAAAGATGATGAATAAGCCAATAAAATGGGGTTTGGTGTTTAAACACTTAACAATAGCAAAAATGTGTAAGAGTTAATTACCCAAGTCCCATCAGGTCCAAACAGTTCCAAGAAGTTGCCGATAAACTCTCTGGATTTCTCCTCCCACTTCTGAATGAGGTCAGCGCTCTTCTCCTCCACACGGTAAACAAAATGTTTACTCTTCTCCTCGACTGTGCGAACCTTCTCCTTCATCCGATCCACCTGGTTCTGCAACCTGTACTTCTTCTCCTGAGGGGAGTAGATGTTGAGGGAAAGAAATGATCGAATGTGACAGATAAAGATAAGATAGAACTTTGTTCATCCTGAAGGAAAGTATTTTGCCGGGTTGCTCCAAAATGACAGTGCAACACAAAAGAACATCAAAGATAGGTAAAAAAAAACAACAACTATAAAACATAAAACCAAAATACTACATGATAATGATATATCAAACATCAAAGAACCAGAATGTATGTCATTAATCACTGACTCTTCTCTTACGTTTATGTAGCTAACGTTCAGCTCCTTAGCCGTGTAGCCGCGTTGGAGGTTGCGTCGAGCGTAGACGTCATAGTCTCTGACAATTCTAGTAATTAAGTCAGAAGTTGAGATTCCCTCCGTCCGTTGTGTGGGTACAAACATTCCTGTGTAAAAATCACACAATTAGAAACTGCCCATGGTAGGTTTCAAGGGAATATACAAATGTTCTCCTCCTGTCTAGTGTCACACACTTACCTGCCTCCTTGATATGTTTATAAACGTCCTCACTTCCTGCTGAGGAGTATGGGATATCGTCATGAGCCACAAAATCGATCTGATAAACAATCAAAAGTCACGCACCGTTTAGCAGAAAAAGTCACACTGGCACACAGACATGAGGTTATAAACACACTCACACACACATTTTCAACAGTACACAAGTTTCTACATTTTTTTAAAAGAGGCCTCATTACATACATTTTAAATATAACTACATTAACTTTATGATGTTGTTACAATGAAAAAAAATTCTGATTAGGTAAAACATTCCCGAATAATTACGGTATTTTAAAGCTTGTAACACAAACATACATAAAACAAAGCCAGATATCGTCTTTTTTCCCAAATATAATACAGCTAAATAATTCTGCAATGTTCTTGTATATTTTGCACAACACAACAATGTGTTGAAGTTCATTAAATCAGCTTTGTTTATTTATTACTTTTGGGAGAAATTCTGATTTATTTCAACTTCGTCAGTCCTGATATATGCATTCTTTCAGTTTTAAAGTGGCTGAGACATATTTGTTGCATTTAGGGTTTAATGGAATTGTTTTAAATAATTGGTCAGTCAGATTTGAGTTCTATTAACTCCCCACATTACAAAAAGGATGCCTTATCGTCTAAGTATTTGTAAAACCCATCCAAAGTGGCTTCTGACTGAGTTAAAGTGACAGTCCTTATTCTTGATTAGTTTCTCTCCACTCCACTCAGGTAGTTATTTTGACCTTTGGGTCCTTGTGATGACAGTCCCTGGATACTTCATGCCCAGTTTTACACAGATGACAAAAAACAACAGCACACTAACACAACAAACCTTGTGTTTCTCCAGGAACTCGGGTGTGAGAGTCCAGGGTGCATCTCTCAGAATCTCGTCAACGTAGCGGCAGTGTCTCAGCGCTTCATAACGTTCAGTCTCCGTCATGACTGTGAAACCCTTGTACTTATGGGTCAGCTCATCACTGCACACTGTGTCAAACACATTGGAGGGAAACCCCACAAAACACACAAAGGCAGATCAATTATTATCAAACCCAGCTGTCATCCTTTTTTTGTGCAGTGGTATTTGAATTTGTATAAAGCATGTGTTCCTGTTTTCTCATGGATCTGTCCTACCTCCTACTATGAGGTAGGTGTTGGGGAAAAGGTTCTTCGCTTGCATGAGAGCGCGAGCATGACCAGAGTGGAACAGGTCAAAGATGCCATCTGCATAGACTCTGACAGGTCGGTCCACTGAAAAGCACAAAAATACAACAATACAAGTATTAAAAACTGACTGCAGATGTATACAATCATAGTGAGAGGAAATGCCTGAACAGAAAGGTCTGGTAAATTCACATCTCCATCTATGTCATCACCCACTTTTTTTGTGGGAGTTAGGATAATTAAGTCTTACTAAACCATAATATTTAGCAACAAATGCCAAACATATACAAGACATGATATATAGTAAGTTATACACACATTCCCAAAAAGGTCGTCCTAATGTTTGGGCTTAGCCTTATAGGCCTACAGCTATTTATTTAAGCACAGCTAATAACAGCAAATAAATTCATGGAAACCTGGAGCCGGCCATCAAGATAAAAGCACTAGTAGACCTAGTTGTATTAAACAGTTCACCCGATACAACTTGAAGAAGCATAGGCCAAACACAGCAGTGGTAGCACTTGAAGAAGCAGCAGCATTAGCATCAGTTGCAATGCTAAATAGGCCAGATACTTTGGGGAAGGCGGCAGCATTGGTAGCAATAGTAATAAAAAAAAAATTGGACTGCTACTGCAGCTGCTTTATGCACCATCTGAACTTCCTCTTCTATTGTTATAATTAGAAAAAGTAACATGAGCAATAGTGGCAGTAGCATTAGCATCATTTGTAAATTTGTAATGTATAGCCTAGTTGTAGTTGTAGCCTAGCAGTAAACGTAATTGCAGTGATATTAATAGGCCTTTAGTAGAAGTGGAAAGAATAGATGCAGTAGTAAGTATTAATGTAATGGTAGAAGCAGTAGCAGCTGCACTGAAAGCAGCAGTAGCAGTAGCATCAGTAGTAGCATATAGGCTGTGAGTAAGTTGTAGTAGTAGTTGTAATTATAATAAAATAGTGGGAGTAGAAACAGTAACCTTATAGCCTAGATGGTAGAAGGAGCACAGAAATGTTTATTTTTGTACTTTCTAGGAGTAGAAGAAGCAGCTGCATATTAGCATTAGCCTTTAGACCTCGGTGTGGTGATGGTGATACTGAATAGGCCATGAATGGCAATAGTAGTTATTGTAGTAGCAGAGGAAACTTCAGAGGTAGAAATAGCAGTAACAACTGTGTGTGCAGTACAAGTAGTAGCCCAAAGTATAATAGTAGCATTAGGATCAGTTTTAAACTAAAACAGTAGCCTAGTAGAAGTAGTATAGTTGTGATGACAGTAATACTCATGAATAGTAGACGTATTGTGGTAGAGGAGTTTGCTTTAGGGGTACGAGTAAAAGCAGTATAGTTGGCAGGAATCCATTAGCAGTAGCTGTAAGTATATAAACTACAGATGAGTAGCAGAGGCAGAGAAAGGCCGGAATTGGTTATGAAAGGTGGGAGAAAAAAAAGGAGACACAAATCAAAGAAGGAAAAAAAAAAAGAGCAGGTGTGCTGTACCTGGGGTGCCTCTGCGGGCCTGGGTGATGGTGAGCTTCTCATGAGGGGCGCGACATTCACAGCTGGTCTCCCTGGCAAAGATGGCAGGTTCCGTCAGAGTCTGAGACGGATTGGAAGAGGAAGAGACAGGGTGATAGATCAAATATAGTACAAACACTCATTACAAAGGGAGATTGAACAAAGGAGTCTGATATTCGTTTGTTTTTTGTTTTTTTTGAGCCCCTTTTAAAGAAAGACATCTCCAAAACAGACGCTCAGAAACCCATCCCCTTCAGTGGCCCTCCCTATCCTCACTCATTTCTGTAACATTAACCTCCATTAGGTTATTGACCACAGCTGACGCCTGCTCCATATTGGACCGATGGATCGAGAGAGAGAAAGAGCTGCACTCAGAACTGTCGATCACTGTGTGTGGGTGAGTGTGAGCAGACTGTCTGTGTGAAGCCTACATGTGTATTAACATTGGCAGAAAACAAGGACAGGGTTATTGATCTGTTGTTGAAGGCCTCTCAGGAACGAGCCACATTTCAAAAGGGAAGAATAAAACGTAAGGTTTGCGAAAAGTAATCCATCAGGAGTAACTTTAAATAATGACCTGTATATATGAGGCGGATGAAAAGAACAACAAGACTGAGACACATGAAAACAAACAGATGGGGAAGAAAAGGATGAGGATGATAGTCATCACTGTAGTATGTGTGTAAAAGGCACATCAAGGTTAAAGTGATGCAGTGTGAGTCTGCCTGGAAATTTGTCTTTGTATGCCATCTGTTGACTGCAGGGAATGTTCACTGATTCTCATTCACACCAATAAAAGAGAAACAGAGTCCGCACAGCGCGGTAAAGTGTGGGAGTGTGAGGGGAGGATGATAAAATGGAAACAGATTCAGTCTCTGAGGACAAGACTGGAAACTGACGTCAATACATCCTCTATGAACAGCAACCAGAGCCTGGCAAGCTCACAACAAGTCTCATGGACACAGGTATACAGAACAGACTATTAACAATGGTGCACATTTGGACAATGAAAGAGGATAAAGAGGTGAATTTGTTTTGAAAATTAAGCTTTGAATCAGAGCTTAAGGATAATAGCTGTATTTCAAAGTGGATTGAAAATGTCAACAGCCACATTTCTTCCATAAAAGTGTTTCCATCGATCAATGTCTTACACAGACCTCCACGGCTCCAATAATGGCAAAAACATTTTCTGAGATGTAGTTCCATTGTTTCGGAAACGCCTATCATAATAACTATTCAAATATTAATCACCTTTGTGTCTTCATCTATACCTGAGCGATGACACCGCTATGAGCAGGTCACTTCCTCAGGGTCATTAAAAGGTCAGAATATTTTTGCTTTTTATATATTTCCAAGAGCTCTGATGAGCTCTAAACACAGACATCTATGGTGCCATGTCCTTGCTGCAGCATGTTTAACACACATTCAAGGTCTGTTTGGTACGCTGGGGACCACAGGGTGGCTTCAGCAGTTTCTATTTCCCCTCAGTGGGATACTTCATCACTCTACTGTAGACATAAATTCTGAGGACACATTGCACGAGTGCACTGCAGAAAATGCATATTTTGCTTATTCTGCACTGCAAACAACCGAATATACATTTTTGGTATGAGTACTTTTTTTTGTGTGTTTTTTGAAAATGTATTAATTATATAATTATTGCTGAGATTATAGATGTATGTTGTGTTGTTCGTTTGTTATGTTAGGTACGGTAAGAGCCGTATGTTCCCACCTATGCCCCCATTTCCTGCTCACCTTTGACCTATAAACACTCAACCATACCACCTGACCAATTAACCCAAATCATCAACCGTCACCACCTAGTGTCCAAACCAAGTAAACAAATCGACATATAAACCAAACCCATTGAAATACAACTCATGAATGCACACACACTAAATGAGTATAAAGTAGTATAAAGATGTCTATACTGCAAATTAACCAACACAGAGCTCAAGTTGATGAACTGCAATTTGACAACAAAAATCCCTAAAAAAATCAGATATTTGGACATGTAGAGGTCTAGTGAAATCTATAATGATGTGACTGCCTTTAAAAATGAGCATGCTTTATAGGAAAGCAGGAAATACATTGGCAAGTAAAGAGCTACAGCTAAAAGAGCTATAACGAGAAAGAAAGCATTCATTTTTTTTAATGTCTTTTTGTGTCTTGTTTCATTTACTTGCTCTTCCTTTCTCCCCTTTTTTTTTTTTTTTTTTTTCAAATTTGCTTGTAAATTTTTGCTCAGTCATGTTAACAGTTTTCCATGTGGGAGTTATCAGAGTTCCCCCGATAGCCATCAAAACTATAAAGCATCATCTCCCATGATTCCCCAGATTTCTTTGTGAGAAGAGCCGGATGGCTTCCAAACAGTTAGCAAAGAGCAGATGGCAAAGCTTAAACAGACAGACCAGGGGAGCATACAGGCCTATCAGGATGAGCGGTCAGTAAAGCCATCGCTGGCACAAGTAAAGAACATCTGGCATAAGCAGGATTAAAGGCCAACAGGGACGAATGGTTAGCAGTGAAGCCATGGATGATGTGAAGAGAGAAGATGGAAAGATGGAGCGATTGGAGGAGGCAGACATGAATGCCAGGATGAGGAGCTACACCAAAAACAAAGGCGACAGCATCCAAATCGAGGAGGAGGATTTGCCCTTACTTCCACATTGTCCCTTCAGCAGGACATTCATGCTACATTATCCACAGTGTGATCCCCCCTCCTTCATTCAGTCGTGTCCACTCAGCATTCTGAGCAGACACATGCTATAGGGGATCTGTTTCGTAACAGGGGAGGGAGCAGGACCCTTTGTCTTTCTCTCCCTCTCCCTGTCACACACACTCACACCGCAAGACACAATGAAAACACGCTCAGATGCCCTACCGTCCGAGGATGGGGGCAGGTGTGTTCAAGCTCCTCCATGATTCCCAAAGACTCATGGGATGTGTCTGTGGTCCCTCTGTAATGTGACTCAGCATCGGTGAGACGATGCCTCTCTCCTCCCCGTTCTGTCTCTTTCTCCTTCCTCTATTCCCCCGCCCACTCTCAGCTCATACTGTCTGCCTGTCCCTCTCTCCTCCTCCTCCTCCTCCTCCTCCTCTGATCCCTTTGCTGCAGAGAGGAGGACACAGTTAAGATGGCTCACTCTGTATCATTTCTACACTGCTAGAAGGAGGAACAATACCCCACAAACAAAGCACAATAAATTCTGTTTGAGAAGTTGTACAACAAAATCAATTTTAAATAGGAAAAAAAAAACATTTGATAGCTTATTAAATGTATCATCTTATTTTTATGTATTTATTTTCCTCTACGACTCTTCCCTCTTTAAACATGTAGACTAGTGTTCGCTTTGTGGCAGTCGATATTGTTGTTCAGGTTTGCTTGTCATGTTTTCTTTTGCTTTTATTTTTTAGTTATCTACTTTTGTTTTAGTAATATATTTGAAATAAAGATATATACAAATCATAATTTGATTGAGTAAATAATTCAGTTAGATTTTAGCTTTATAGTTGTCTGAAGTTACCAGGCTACAGGCAATTAGAATACCTCTGTGGTATTGTCTTTTTGTAGTAGGCCTATATTGTAATGAAAATTAAGTGGAGTAACACACAAAACAATCATATTTTACAGAAGAAAAAAAAGATAAATGTAATAAATCTGTACGATAATTCCGACAGTTATGTAAGAATGAGTGAGTCATCACTCAAATAAACGATCTTGGTTCGTTGGACTGATGAGCTCTCGCCATGGCGACGGAAAAGAGGAGAGAACTTCTAGAGGGGGACCAATCAGAGACGAGCAACAGCGGTGTGAGCAGTGAGGATTGGTGCACTGAAAACACAATCAGTGAGATGGTAGTGAGAATAACAACACTGGCATCAAAATGAGGGGTTTATAAATTACAAATAAATAGGCTGCTGCACACGGGTAGACTCTCCTTCAATGGTTAAAAGTCCATCGACGATGATAGGTAAAAATATGTAGCCCCAAAAAAAGACAGGTTTCAGCACCACCAGGCACATTATGTAAAGAAATACGTGTTAAAAATGTGTAAACATATAGGTTGTAATTCTAGACCATGTTCAACATCTGATATGAAACCATCTCTAGCTCTCTTTTTAAGCTCTCATCCATTTTAGAGTAGTTTTGGTCTGTCAGCCAACAATGGCACCCCCGTACCAAGTTAAGCTTACTTTACCAGGCTGCTTCAACTAAAGAGTGTTAGAGCAACTTTATCTTTCTCGCACCAAAGACAAAACTTTGCAGTCGTTAAATCAGGCAGTAACACAGCAATAATAGCCCAACTTCAGACCCTTGTTCAAACCCCAACTTTAAAGTTTAAAGCTTTGCCCAAAGGATGTCATCTTACCTTCAGAGGTCCTCTTCTGCAACAAAGAGGCGCAACAGTGCAACACGAGTGCGCTCTGATGCGTCGCTGTTTCACCATGGCGTCCCAAAACCAGACAAGTAGCCTATTAAAAACGGATAGGCTATTGATCCGTTTACCACTTTCCTTCTCTGTCGGATTTACAGTTTATCCAAGTTATAGCATACAGTGTGTCTTTGCTCCAGCCCAGCGGGGGGGGGGGGAGTGCAGCGGAGCGACGACAGTCCCGTCTGTGCTCAGGACAGATCTGCTGCTCACTGATGATGAGCCGCGACAACTGTGGGCATGGTCAGTTAAACAGACCTACAGTAGACCATACGGACAGCAGGCTATACTGTACATTCAGGACCCCTTTGCCTGTTGTAGTGCGACTGTGTCGGAGAACCTCACTGTTGCAACATATCAATAATTAGAAAAAAAAAAAAAAAAAAAAAAAAGCCTAACTTGAAAAGTGAACAAATAGGCTATTGCTTCACAACACATTTTTTTACTTGCCAAAAAAATGAAGAAAGCCATCAACACACGTTTAGTGGACGGTGTACAGTATGAACAAGCAGGTCACACTGTAAAGGCTACTAATGAAAATGTGTTGTGGGTATGAAGAACAAAACACGCTTTGTTTCCCCCCCCATTGTTGTACGCACTGTAGTGTGTCCATGGCCCCAATCTGGGACAGGAACCCATTGTGCCTTTAGAAGGCCAGCCTGGTCGCAATGGACACGAGTTTAACCGGGGTACATTTACAAAAGGGAAAGTCCATTGGTAGAGTCATATTAAAATTCCTCATTTGAGGATAAGGAATTATTGTTATGCCCTGGAAGAATATCTACAGTGTAGATTCTACACCAAATAGCTATTTGTAACTCAAAGTGTAGCCTATGAGGACAATATGGATCAGCTCTGTTATGTAAATGTCTGTGCCTCTTTTCTCTCAAGTAGATGGAAAATTATGTTTGTGTGTTTTTCTGTGGATTTTGTGTGTTGTAATGGGCTTTTTGCTCTTTAAAAAATATATTTTTGCAATAAAATTTTCGGAATAAGGTTGGCTTTCAGTAATTAAAAAGAATAAATTATCTTAGAGAAACACTTGTATTATTGTGGACGAGATAAACAAAGCGGATCCATTGAGCAACACTGCCACCGTCCGGACAAGAGTTGGAACAACACTGTGTGTGTTTTTTTTCTTTTTTTTTTTTAATTGGCCGATAGCACTGATACGTCACTTCCTGTGTATGACTTTCCCCGGGAAGGCTATTTGGCGCGGACTGACCTTCTTGTTTGGTTGATCTGTCCCAGTTGCCTTGAGCAGCTGTCACTTGGAAAACTTTGAATTAAAGCAAAGAAATTAAAGCCCAATGGCTCCAGTTTCAAACCCAGAGAAGGACACGGACGGTCCGGACTGCGGTGAGTTTGTGTTTCTAGCTGCTTTTATCGGACTTGCACAGGGAAAGCAAAGGAGTTGGCTAACACAGAAGCTAGCTGCGACTGTAACCTAACAACAGGGGACATTGTTAAGGCCTTGTGTGACAATAAGTTTGACATTGTAGAGTAACGTTGTTCAGCCTGAAGCACCGATAAGCACTTGTTTATTGTAATGTACTTCAATGTTCTGCAATCTGCGTCTTTTTTTTGTTTCCTTTGTGATTTGACTTCGTTTCCACTTCGCCTTAGTGTAAGAGGTAGCCATGAACCATTCATTTAAGATGTAATATATTAACCTAAAGCCAATTCCACAAAGAAGTTTCTTCATGTTTAAAGTAACAGTGAAAGAAATACTACTGAATGATTCCCTGCAAGTGCTGCACAAGTACATCTGTTGGGATAAACATTTACCAATGAATTTGTCACACCTTCTTCTTCTTCTTCTTCATATCAATGCATTCCTCTCCTTAGATGATGGAGGTGATGCTTGTGGTCTGGCAAAGTCTCGCTCCAGACGGGAGAAGAGGGAGAAGGTGGGGAGGAAGTCTGCACTGGAGCAGCTCAAGAAAGCCAAGATGGGAGAGAAGATCAAATATGAGGCAAGAAGCGTGATTGTTTTTACGATGTCATTGGGTGCCGCACAATTTGGATGTCCTATAATTGTCTGTATCCATGTCTTTATGTAGCTTACTTCATATCAGAGCAACGTCACATTACTTATTAGGATCCAGTGGCAGAGATCGTGCTGGGACCTGGGCTTTATTTACCACCTTTTTTAAATTTTTTAAATCCCAACTTGCTAGAAAAAAAAAAAAAAACAGCCACACACTCAAAGGAGCTCCACTGTAATAAAATCAAGTGTCAGAACAATTTTAGACCTTTTAAAACATTTGACTGGATAGATTAGAGATATGCAAAATGATCTGGTGCAAAGAAAAACAAAAAAAAAAAACACCACTAGATTATCATCAAACATTGTGCAGCGCATTTGATTCAGCCCATTCTCGTTTCAACTCAGCTGCTTGCTGAACTTTGTTTGGTAGCTTATGTTCATCTGATGCTAATGTTTCCAGGTGGAGGAGTTCACTAGTGTGTATGAGGAGGTGGACGAGCAGCAGTACTCAAAGATGGTGCGGGAAAGACAGGAGGATGACTGGATTATCGATGATGGTGGGTGTCAGTCTTTTGTAGCTACTGTGGTAGTGTTTCTGATTGGGAGGACAGGTCTTGTGCGAATACTTCTTTGCCTCTTTTCAGATGGGACAGGATATGTGGAGGATGGACGTGAAATCTTTGACGACGATTTGCACGATGATGTCGTTGAAAACAAAAAAGGTAAACACTCGGAACAATCACTCATTTCACATGAATGTACAGTATGTGTATTTTTTTTAGTGTTAGTCTGAAGCCTGGCTCGCACGACAGGAGTTTTACAATTTTGAATCACAAACACAAGGAGAGTCTTAACAGATATTCTTCTCCATAATCTCAAGCATGCACACACTACAAGATATGAAAATCATGCATGATACACAGTCGTGATCGTGCATTATCCTGCCCGACGAAGGAAAGCACCATCTCACACGATCTCACCATGGAGCCGGCGGTTCAATTTGCGATTATAAACTCTGTTCAGAGAGGAGGAAAAAAAAAGAAAAGTTTTTGGCTGAAGAAATGTCAGGGGCGACACAGACGACATGGCTTGTGTATTCTTCAGCAAGAGCTGGAGGTCAGATCGTAACTGCTGTCCAGCAAACCTGTGTGGGTTGTGTCCTGCCGCTGGCCCTCAATACTGTTCACATATCACTGTACTGTCAAGTCTCTCGCGGATATTGTGCTCACACACAGCTTCCACCAAGACCTGTTTATGACATAATCATTGAGATTTCAAATTCTAAATATCAAACATGGTTGAAATAAATCGGGGCGTACCCTACGATCTCCGAGCAGATCGGGGACGTTAAGATTGGATCAAATTAGACTCACACCACAAGATAATCTGCCAACTCTGCGCCAGGCTTTAGACAAAATAGTCTGAGCGTCTACAAAGAGAAACATTTTTTGTGTTAAAATGTTTTGTTTGTGTTTGAAGGAAAACCAGGTGCTAAAGGAGCAGACTCAAAGAAAAATGTGAAGAAATCTGCCGTAGCCAAGCCCAACACTATCAAAAGCCTCTTCAATAACAGCAATGTCAAGAGACCTGTTGAGGTATGCTCTTACTGGCATCGTTGGCCTGCTCATGTGTAGCTTCTTCTTCAAGTATGTTTTTTTTATGTGTCCTCTGCAGATCATTGCTTCAAATAAAACGGGCACACTAAACTTTCTTCTTGCTCTTGCACGCACTGAAAACATACATTTTGTCTCCTGCAGAAAGACGTGGATCTGTCCAAAGATGACCTATTGGGAGATATCTTACAGGACCTGCACTCTGAGGTTGATACTACAGCATCTTAAAGAAGCAGTCATATGATGTATGTTTTGTGATGTTTGCCTTGAAAAGAATCGGTTTCTTCCCCTGTCATCCCAGAAACCAAGTCTCCTGACTCCTCCACCAGTGGTGACTCTGAAGAAAAAGAAATCTCTTGGAACACCTTTGAATCCCTTTTCTATTAAACCCCAGACACCAAAGGTATTCCTTAAATCTGTCGTCACTTTTTGTCATAGTCCAAAAATCCATCACTCTACCACACCACTGGTTCAATTCTACATTTTTTTTATTCAATCATTTTAAAATTTTCTTCATCACTTGAAAATCCAGGAGTCGTCCTCGGCTGCAGGGTTAAAGGCCAAAGTTATAAAGCCGCCGCCTTCTGCCCCGACCCCCAGGTCATCCGCCTGCCCGCCTCCATCCAAACCTGCCCCTCCTGAGGGGAAGCAGAGGATAAAAGCGGAGGAGCAAGATGAAGAAGGTAAGAAAGAAAAAAACCAGGATACAAATGTTACATTTTTATTTTGTTTTCTGTCTTCTAGCAAGTTAACCATAATGACAACGCGTTTCTCAGTGAATGATGCAATGGCATTCGATGGGGTGGACTTTGACGAGCCCATGGAGGTCGGGCTTGAGGAGCAGAAACCTGAGATCAAAGATGCAGCTGAGTCTGATCCTAAAGCAGCAGCAGCAGTTGTGGCAGTTAAAACGGAGCCTAAAGCGGAGCCTCAGGATCCAGTCTTAATGTAAGTCTTTTATGTGACCTGTTTGCTCAGACTTTGTACAGAAATAAAGACTCCGGCTCGATCGTTAAATTCTGTACATACATTCTCTACACTCAACTTAAATGCATCTTCCTTGATTCTTCGATCCTTTTCCAGGTCCGGCAGAATCAGCACTTGGGGTCAGGAGGAGGAGGAGGGAGTGGCCAGCGATGCTCCAGCAGAAGTTCAGGTCGACTCCAGCCGACTCCCGCTGGCGGAGGGACCGGACGGGGAGCAGGTTTTCCGCTTCTATTGGTTGGATGCCTTTGAAGAGCCTTACAGCCAACCAGGCAAGTCACTGTCACTTCAGGAGTAGACCTAATGTGTTGTTCTGTTAGATTTAAAAAAAATCCTTTTCAGAATTGTATTGCTCACCCAGATGCTTTAACCGACTCTTAGGTGTGGTGTACTTGTTTGGGAAAGTGTGGATTGAGTCTGCAAAGTCTCATGTCAGCTGCTGTGTCTCTGTAAAGAACATCGAGCGCACCATGTACTTCCTGCCTCGGGAATATGTGAGTATTTTATCAGACCACATATTATCGACAGTGTCATTGTAAAAGGACAGTTTGTTT